ACGTTGCCATTTATTTTTTTTATCACTTCCTTCTTTTGAGGCTGAACAAACAGTGCAGACATTTTTGCAAAAGATGGCAAAAAGGATAAAATATTGGATTGGGCGTTACTCGCTCTATTCAGCGTTTTAGCCTTTTTGGCCGTTCCAGCTCAAGAAGTGCTCGTTTCGAACAAACAGTGAAGTCTGTGCTCTGTAGGAGAATGGCGATGAGAGCGTGACGATAACCTATGAGCCAAAGGAATGCGGAAGTCACTTGCTGGTGGTGCTGCACGAAGAAATTGACATGGTCGGAAGTCCGGTCCCGTTTTACGTAAGTGAAACAGTGGATGGATATGTGACGGCATACGGTCCTGGCTTGTCACAAGCGGTTGTCGGTGAACCAGCTTGTTTCACTGTTTGTGCGAGAGGTTCGCCTGCCCGAGACCTTTCGATTGCTGTAGAAGGTGTTTCGAAAGCAACAATCAAATGTATTGATAATTTGGTGAGTTTTTTATCATTGTGAAACAGAGTCAGTCATTGGCGGACCCAACGGGCCTTAGCCCCCTGCCCTCCTCCTCCTTCCTCGGGAGCTCAGATAGTAACCGTTTTTAGAAAACCGCGTGTCGCCCACCTCCCCTACGGTCGTTACCACAGTTTAGGGTCGACTGGCGAGAGAGGGGATGACTGTGGTGGGGTAGCCGAGCCTAGGAGGGAGGGGAGTGGGGCCCTCGGTGTAGTGACGGACGCTCCTCCCCCTATCCTCCCCCTCGCAGAACACCGCCCAGGATCTGCCTGTATAGTCAGTGGTGAGAGGGAGGAATCAGTTCGTGCGTTTGCGTCAGCGGTGATAGTTTAAAAGAAGTGCAGAGCGAGCAGAACTTGGGCAGTTTGGTTGGATACAGGACATTATTGATCATTGACGCTGAGTGATAAACATTACTTGAAGTACTAGGTCCTCAGTGCTACAGACTTTTGCCAAACATCGATGCTGGTCTGATTTTGTTGTACGGTATGTTTTATTGCAGGATGGAACATGTTCTGTGACCTGGGTACCACCCGTTGTTGGTGAGTACAAAGTTCATGTGAAACTTTGTGAAAAACCAGTCGCCGGCTCACCATTTCGTGTGTTCGCATCGGGTGAGACACGGAAACGAGCGCATCTGTCATATGGGTCGGCCTCTGAGGTTAGCTTCTCGTCTTTCATTTTCTTCAGTTTTTCTTTAGTGTTTTGTCTTTTGTTTTTTTTTGCTTTTTTTAATGTCGACGAATTGGTTTATTCTAGGTTACGCTTAATGTGGCAAGTGAAGAGCTCAGAGGGTACTCTGCTTCGATCAGAAGTCCGAGTGGCATTGAGGAACCGTGTTTCATTCGCAAAATTAACTCGGCTCACATTGGTACATTTTTTTTTTTTGCTTAGCTGGTCGCAACTGTCGTGACGCATGCGGGTTTTTTCCCATTGAGAGTTAGCACTTTTGAAACGAAAACGCTCGTTTATTGCTGTATCTGTAAATTTTCCTCGACGGTTAAATTCTGCTTTGCGTTTCGTATCTCATAAATTCTTAATTATATCAGTTTCAAAGGCACTGGGGACGGGCGTGTATTGCCAGAACGGTGCATCTTTGTGCAGGATTCCCCGATTCCGAATTTTAGTTTAATTCGTTGATTTACAGTTTATAATTTGTTATCCTCAGGTGTCTCGTTTACACCGCGTGAAGAGGGCGAATATCATATTATGGTACGACACAATGGCGTTATAATACCGAAATCGCCTTTCCGAGTTCTTGTTGATAAAAGTCAAGTAAGCTGAATTGTGCTTATGACAATGGATAAGTGGATGGCTCCACTAGTTGTCGATGGTTTAGCTAATACTGCTACTGCTACTACAGATTGGCGACGCATCAAAAGTTGTTGTAACGGGGCACGGCAAAACAAATGCAATTTCCCAGAATTTCAGTATCTTCACAGTTGATACGACCAAAGCAGGTTTGTTGTACCATCTTATTTCACACAGTCACTGATTTTGTTCTTGTCGCAATTGCATATAATGTTCTGCAGGTTTTGGCGCAATCTCAGTATGTTTGGAAGGACCATCAAAAGCCGAGCTAAACTGCACGGAGGCAGAAAAGGGCGTCATCAGTTTTGCCTATCGACCAACTGAACCCGGAACATACATGTTATCAATCAAATTTGCGGATGCACATGTACCAGGTCCTACTGCGCACCATACCTGCTCAGATTTATCATTATGAATAACATTTTCCTTTTTTAAAGTCGAAATATGCAAAATTTATGTATTTGCAGGAAGCCCATACACGGTCGTCTGTACTGGCGAAGGACTGGGCTCCTTAAGGGAGACTGCCAGCATGGAGATGAAAGAGGTAAAATATACTTACGAGATTGCATAAGATAATTTTTAGGCCTCCTATGTCAAAAAGCGTACAAAACGCGACAGATGTTTTGCTGCTCTTTCTTAAAAATTTACTCACTATACCTGCTTTTTGCTGGAATAGTGTTTTTTGGATTATTTGGGTGTGTTTTGTTGATTCCCTTAAGTATTTTCTTGATTTCTGTTGATTCGAGCGTAGTTTGTTTTGCTGATTTTTTTCTTTTGATTTTTGGATTATTTGAACGCATTTTGTTGATTTCTTGTAGATTTTGTTAATTGATTTCTTTGAGTTGATTTTCGTCATTGGTAGGCACCGGCGATTTGGCCAGGGCAAGAGGCTGTGGTTAATATGCAGTTGCGAAATGCTTTGCCCATGGAAATAACAGCAGAAGTGAGGGGCCCGGATGGATACAAAGAAACAGCAGAAATCACCGATATCGGCAGTGGCTTGTATCGTATCAAATTCAAGCCTTCGATACTGGGCCAGCATGCCGTTTCACTGTTCAGCGACAAACAATTGGTATCAGGTATGAAACGCACCAACTTTCTGTCTCTTTGATTGAAAACCTTATAAATTTAATGGAAAGCTTTAGAACTGAAAAGCATGCTTTTGTTTTGCAGGAACCCCATTACTGTTTACCGTGGGACA